AGAGAATTTTTAATATTTATTTTCTAGTTCTCGGCGGACACAACATCTTTGTTGGTATGTGGTGCTGAGGATCGAACCCGGGCCACACGCATGCCAGGCGAGCGCGCTACCGCTTGAGCCACATCCCCAGCCCCCATAGTATTGATTTTAAATGTGGCTCAATTTTTTTCTTGTGAGGCTAGGGGTCACACTCAGAGCCTCATACATGCAAGACAAGTGTTCATCCACTGAGCTATATCCCAGTCCTTCATATTTTTAATTTTTTGTGGTACTGGGGATTTAATCCAGATGCTTTACCACCAAGCTATATTCCCAGTACTTTTTAGTTTTTATTTTGAGGTAGGGTCTCACAAAATTGCCTAAGCTGGCCTAGAACTTACAATCCTCCTGCCTCAGCCTCCAGAGCTGCTGGGATCACAGGTGCATGACACCACACCTAGTTTGAACTTTTAAAAGGTTATTGTTAACCAGCTTTTAAAAGGTTATTGTTAACCAGCTTTATTACCTCTCTTAAGAATTTTTTGTTTAGCTGGGCATGGTGGCACATACCTTTAATCCCAGTGACTCAAGAGGCTAAGTAAGGCAGGAGGATTGCAAGTTCAGGACAGCCTCAGCAACTTAGCCTCTATGCTTGACTAGGTTTTTTTTTTTTCTTTAAATAATTTGTTCTTTGAGGGTTGGGGATGTGGCTCAAGCGGTAGCGCGCTGGCCTGGCATGCGTGCGGCCCGGGATCGATCCTCAGCACCACATACAAAGATGTTGTGTCTGCCAAACACTAAATAAATAAATATTAAAATTCTCTCTCTCTCTCTTTAAAAAAAAAATTGTTCTTTGATTTTAATTCTGGTCAATTTTTACAAACTTAAGTTTTAAATGTTTTATGTGGACAAAGCTATGGATTCTTTTTTTGTAGTTTTCTACTGCTTGCAAACTCAGAGTCCTCTCCATCTCAAGTCAACTAAATAATCATCTACAATTCGTTCTATGTTTTTAATGTTTTGTTCAGTTTGCTTTTAACATAGTTAATATAGTTAACTAATTGCTCCATCTTGAATTTGTTATTTGGTAAGAATTAAAGCAGTAAACTGATTTTTTTTCTCCCTAAGTAGCTAACTAATTATCCCAGTACCATTCACTGAATAATGAATCTCTCCTATTACTGGGTTAATCTAAAGAGAGTCCTATCTGCTGTTCATAATTGCAAAACTTGGAAGTTTACCCTAATGCTATCAACTACATATGACACTGAGGTCAATTACTTTGTCTACTTGGCTCCTAAATCACTGAAGCCATAAAATGGGATAAAGAAAAAGTTACTTCTTCAAGGATTCAAATAAGATAGTAAGTTGCATTCAAATTCAGAACAATCACCCCCTTGTTTCTGCTCAGGGGAGTTCCAGAGTGGACCCCCCTAGAGCACTCTGCAAGCAGATGGCACTAGGAATGTAAATAAAACTGGACACCAAGTTCCCAAGGAGGAAAGGGAGATTTTAGTGACCGGTATTCAACTTTCTGTCACCTTAACGTTGGTTGGTTAGTTTAGCTGACACGACCTCAGCCAGCCCACTAAATTCTCTGGCATCCCCAGGCTTAATGCCTTGCTACAATGCCATGTAGAGGAGGGTGAAATGTTAAAAAAAAAAAAAAAAGGCTCTAGAGAACTCTGGCTTCAGAGCGGCCGTGGCTCTGAGCCCACTTACTGAATGCTCTTCAGAGTCAGATGTCTGGGATGAGATGATGGGGTTAAAGCTGGTGGGGGACAAGGGGCCCAATTTTTTCCTCATGGCTCGAATCTGAAGCAGTGCCCGGAAGGCTGTGGAGAAGGAAGCAGGCAATCAGGACATCCTGCTGCAGGATTAGGATGAGCAAGGGCCAGGCAGAAACCACACGGTGCCCAGGTCCGCCAACCCAGTAGCAGCATGTGCTCTGCTGCTGTGACCGTCCTCCCAGCCTAGCCCTCTCACGCTCCCTGGCTGGGGCTTACGGAGCCGGCAGATGGGGCAGTTGTTGGCTTGGTAGCGCAGGGTGTCTGCACAGGTGTTACAGAGGCAGAGGTGGCGGCAGGGCAGGATCAAGGTGTCCCGGACATCCGAGAGACACACCACACACTCAGCACTGTTATCGCTCACTTCGTCCTCAGCCACCTGCGGGGGAGACGGAAATTCAGCCACAAAGCCCTAGACGTCACTGACAAGGCAGGGAGGGGGCTGAAGAGCTGAGGCAAGCATGAGGAGGAGTCCACGCTGCCCTGGACTTCACAGCTGAAGTCCTGCTGAAGTCCTGCTGCTCCTGGGGGGCTGGTTATCTGAAGCGGAGAGACCAGGACTTACCACCTAGCGCAAGCCCTGAGGCCAGCTTTGGCCCTGTGGCGCCTGACTGAAGGGACCTAGGTGAAAGGCAATAAAGACCCGCATGGACAAATCCAGAGCAGCCTCTTCCTCTCGCTTCCGAAGTGACAGAAGCATAATGGTCTAAATGAGGAAGAGGAAATCCTCTTCCAGGGCCTGACTGACTCCATGGTGTGGCTCGATTACTTCCGCCATCTTGGCTTTATCTGAGAACTGCGGCCCTGCCTCCCAGGGGGACGGTCAGAGTTTTGGACAAAACTTATCTTAGAATCATTTTTTTAAATGAAAGTGTTTATAACATAACATTTATTTATTTATCTATTCATCTTTTTTAGTTGTAGATGAATATAATACCTTAATTTTATTTGTTTATTTTTATGTGGTTTGGGGAGCGAACTCAGTGCCTCAAGCGTGCTAGGCAAGTGCTCCACCATTGAGCCACAACCCTGGCTCCATAACATTTATTTACTTTTTAAAAATATTTTTTAGTTGTAGAAGGACATAATACTTTAATTAATTAATTAATTATTTTTTATGTGGTGCCGAGCATGGAATCCAGTGCCTCACACGTGGTGCCAGGCAAGCGCTCTCTCACTGAGCGGCCCTTACCTTAGAATCCTGTGTGTTGTACTTGTTTTCAATTCCATAGATCTCCTGAAGAAGGTAGCTGACCCCATCTACCTGAACAGGAAACGGAGATGTTCAAGGACAGGCYGACCCCACTGGGAGACAGCGTAGGAGCCCCACCCCACACCCCAGGATCCCAGGACTACCGCTTCACAATGAAGGAACTCGCAGGCCTGGACAAATAAAAGATGTATTTCTTTACTTCTGTTTTCTCTTTGAGAGGGGAAAGAAAATTGAGTGTTTAATTCACCCACCATTATATACAACAGGGAACATAAAATTCCACCATTACTAAAATAATATTTGTACATGGCTCACTATTGTGGGCAGTCGAGAAAGGATATGCCTCAAAATATAAGCACTAGCTATGTAAGGAAAGTGAGTTCAGACATACAAATAAAGGAATAGAAGAGAGAAAGAAAGAGGAAATGGGCAAGGAAAAAGAGGGAGACAGAAAAATGCAGATGAAAGGGAGGTGTAGACTTGAAGGAGGGGCTGGGCACAYCCCTCCAGCCAGAGCCACCCCTTTCCTACCCTGCAGCAAGATCATCCCCTTGGTCCTGTTCATTTCTTCCTTTTGGTAGTAGGGATTGGACCCAGGGCCTCATGCATGTTACACAATGTCGGACAYTTGTGGGAGTGCTCTACCCTGAGCTACCCCAGTCCTTGGTCCTGTTTCTTTTCTTTGTTTAGAAAAAGGAGTAGGAATGGGCCACGTGTGGTGGCCACGCCTATAATCTCAGTGGTCTGGGAGGCTGAAGCAGGAGGATCGAAAGTTCAAAGCCAGCCTCAGCAACATAGTGAGGCCCAGTCACAAAAAAAAAGGGGGGGGGGTTGGGCATGTGGCTCAGTGGTTGAGCACCCCTGGGTTCAAACCCTTACCAAAAAAAAAAAAAAAAGAAAGAAAGAAAGGAGGAGGATTTATCCAAGTGTGAAGAATCAAAACACAACTCTTCAGAGACAAGAGGGCACCCTATAGCAGGTTACCTGTCCTGTTTTAATTTCTTTTTTTGTATGGCAAAGTTTTTACTTTTAAATGATTAGTATACTAAATAATAACATATAACAAGTTCTTGAGTCCTATCATCTAATAATTTTGATGAAAATAAACTAATAGCAGCCCAGAGAAGTCTGTTAGTATTCACTGCTCTAACCCTTAGTCAAAATGGACAACTTTAAGGCTGGATGCTGCTTTAGACAAGTTACAAATAACCATTTATGACTTCTTCATAGATGAAGCCTTTGCCTGTCCTGTTTTTTAGAGCCCTGCCTGCCAACACCCAATCCTGCTTCCTCTAGCCGGGGCTACGTCAGTGCCTTGGGTGGTCCTTCTTTTAGTCCCTTAGGCGCCCACTCCTCTCTCCCGCCTCCTTCACCTCTGTGCCCAGCACACAGATGAGGAACCCATCTCTGACTTCACATCTCASGCTTCAGCTGCACGGGCTGTTGCTAAGGCAAATCTAGCAACAGGAAGACAGATAAAACATCTTCCTTTAGCTACACTAGCCTTTTCATCAAACCCAGGCCTCCTAGAGGAACTGGCCTTCCCATGAAGCAACTCACCACGCTGGGCCTGCCCAGGTGCCGCCTGGGGCTCAGGATCTGTGACTCCTCTGCCTCTAAAACTTGTTTTAACCCTGTGGTGATTATACTGAAGAGGACACAATCAACTAATTTACACTAAGGTACTACTGGGTACTACTGACCTCATTAAAAGAGGGGCAAGTATCTAATCCAAAAGGATGAGTACTTGAGAATTTCAGATATCTATCAGCTATCTGCAGAACAGCCTTTCTATGTACCTCAACCAAGACAACCCTGACTTCCACCCGCCACTCGCCCTTGCCAATGCCTTTGGCACCTGCCTCCCTTCCCTCTATGACACCTCCTACTACCTCTGCATGTGGTGGGGCGTGGGCCTCTTGGCAAACCGAATTTTAGAATAGGAATGGTGGGATGAATTCAGCCAAGGGCTCCGGTTGGCTCTGAATTGGACCCTAATACATTATCCTTTTCTTGAAATGTTTCTTACTCTGGCATTTTAAAGACAAAGAGTTCTCCCTAAACCTGATGTCAGGAGACAAATCTTATCCTTTCACTGCTTAAGTCCTTTGCTCTTTGCTCAGATAACTGCTGCCTAAACACTAACAAATCTGGAACACTATAGATACCCAAAACCAGTATTCCTTCCAGGACACCCAAGTGGTTTCTAACAATAAAAAGAACTCCCTCTTTCCTCCCCTCCTTCTTTAAATCAAAGAAAGGGAAGAGGGAAAGAAAAATGCTAAAACCAGAAAAGAAGCCAGGTGCAGTGGCACACGCCTATAATCCCAGCGGCTCAAGAGTCTGAGGCAGGAGGATAGCATTCAAAGCCAGCCTCAGCAAAAGCAAGGTGCTAAGCAACTCAGTGAGGCCCTGCCTCTAAATAAAATACAAAATAGGGCTGGGGRTGTGGCTCAGTGGTCAGTGCCCCGAGTTCAATCCCTGGTTTCTCCCCACCAAAAAAAAACAGAAAAGAGAAAAAGAGGGAGGAGGTAGGCGGGGGGTGGGGGGGTGGGGCGGGGGGCAAACAGGAGCAGCCCCTGGCCTCAGGTACTTACCACTTGTTTCTGTTTGAGGGGTTTGACACAGAAAGTCCCATCTGTGTGCTGGAATGAAAACATGTCAGTTAAGGCAGGACATCAGGGAGGGCACCAAGTGCTCCATATTCTGTCAGTTTTCTCAATCATACACACTCTTGGGCACTCAGAGTGGAATTACAGAGTCGGAACAGTAGGGCCTTCCAATGAGCCAGTCTATTTCACATTAGGAAGAGGAGACTGAGGGCTCAGGAGTCTAAGGTCATGAGCAAGGTGGTGGCAGAGCTGGAACCCTGAGCACAGCTCCCATGTGATGCTCTTTCAATGCCACCCATCTCCCAAGCTGGGCCACTGTGCAGAGCCCAGGCAGCCAGCCAACCATGGTGTCCTTGCACAAAAGAAAGGGCTAAAGAAATGATAAAGTTACTCACCTTTTCAAAAGTACCCAGTAGGACATGGCAATGGCCAAAGTACTCTGAAAGAAACAAAGGCACACACACGTATGAAGCAGACGGCCAAATAACACGTACTGATGCCCTCCCTTCCCAATTCCCACAAGGTGGCAAATAAATCATGCTGGGCACCCTGTACAGCCCAACAGTCTTCACCTCAGCCCAAGAGGCTGGGAAAGACACTGCCTGACCAAGGCCCATAGAGCAGGTGTACTGGTCTGGGATCAAGGCTTTTGCCAGGACTGTGCCACAGAGGACAGTACACATAGCAAGAGAAGACAGAAATCACCCGTACCATCTCCTTCATCAACCACAGCATGTACCACCAAGGGGTAGACCTCTCGGTCCAGGTCAAAGCCAAGCTGCAGGGAAGACAAGAGGAAAAGAGGGGACTAAGCACATGGAGATGGCATAGCAGCCATCTGAAAAGGCAGGCAGTCAGGATGCATGGACCTTGTCTGCTCCTCACTGATCAACCTTGTGTGACCCAAATCTGCTTAACAGAACCTCACCAATTTCTCTTTAAAAATTTCGTGGAATCAAAGCTCCCTAACCTGCAATTTCTTTTCTTTGAGCATGAATCTCTCAAAGTATCTGAGGTTCACAGGCTGCTTTGAAAGAGAAGAATTAACAAGGGTGAGATGAAGGGATCACTAGGCGAGCTTGGCCTTCAGGCAACTGGGCAGACGCTCTGCTGCCCGCCTGGGTCTGGCGCCCCTGGGCCCTTCGTATCYACCTGGGGAGACCCCAGCAGAGACAGCTCACCTCCTCTTCGGCCCACTCRGAGGGATCCACGGTATGGGAAGGCAGGCAGAACTGCTGGCACACCCCTCGCTTGTAGTACACAGTCTCAGACTGCAGGCAGTCATCTTTAGGGATGTAGCTAAGAACAAGGCGGGAGGCAGAGCAAACTCAGGGTCTAGACCAGGTGACCTAACAAGTTCCTGTCTCTTGCCTGTTCTCTATTTTCAACAGGCTCTAGCACAGGACAGGAAGTTCCCTTCTATCTATTTCTGTCACCAGATAAGAGCCTGGCAATGTCATTAAACTTATCTACTCAACCCACACATGCTCAAAAAAGTAGCTAAATAGAGTTTTTTAAAAATATYTTTTAGTTGTTGATGGACCTATATTTTATTTATTTGTATGTGGTGCTGAGAATTGAACCCAGTGCCTCACACATGSTAAGGCAAGTGTGCTACCACCAAGCCACAACCCCAGCCCCCCAAAATAGATTTTTCAAGAAGATTTTGAGGACTGAGGAGCTATGCTGCCATCTTCCAAAGGTGAAAGAATAAGGCCTGATAAAAGAAAATCTGAATTCAGGAACCAGTTCTTGCTTGGTGTAGACACAGATAAGCACAGAAGACAGGGACCTACCTGTCTGGGAGGGAAGCGGCCCACCTAGCCTCTTGTGCGTACCTGGCAATGCCATTCTGGAATTCCTCCGTGGCCTGGTAGTAGATGGTGATGGCCACCCGGGCATCGGCRTCGAAGGTGAACTCCACGTTGTAGTGGACTCTGGCTCTGCTGGCCTCTTCCCCAGGGCTCTTCACTYCCTCGGCACACCTAGGACACACCAAGACTCAGCATCTGAGCACTTCTTTTTTGGTGTTAGGGATTTAACCAAGGGCCTAGCACATGCTCAGGTTTGGCAAAAGTTCTACCACTCAGCTACATCCCCAGCCCTTTTTGTTTGTTTTATTTTTTGGCACCGAGGTCTGAACCTGGAGGTGCTTAGCCACTGAGTCCTTTTTATTTTTTAATTTGAGATAGGGTCTTGCTAAATTGCTGGGGCTGGTCTCAAACTTGGAATCCTCCTGTCTCATCCTCCTGAGTTGCTGGGATTACAAGTGTGCATCACTGCACCCAGCTGACCTTCTTTTTAAAAAATTTAGTCATATATTGTTGACTTCTCTCCATGGCCCTTAACATAATCTAAATCTTCATTTTGAATGATCACAGAACATTTCATTACCATCATTTGTGGGCACTGAGGTTATTTCATAGTGCTACAATTAATATTCATATGCACTGCCAGACTCAAGAGTTTTTTTTTTTAATTTTTTTTAGTTGTAGTTGAACACAATACCTTTTTTTTTTAAAGAGAGAGGAGAGAGAGAGAGAGAGAGAGAGAGAGAGAGAGAGAGAGAGAGAATTTTTAATATTTATTTTTTAGTTCTCGGCGGACACAACATCTTAATTGGTATGTGGTGCTGAGGATAGAACCCAGAGCCTCAAACATGCAAGGCAAGCGCTCTCCTCCTGAGCCACAACTCTAGTCCCGAGTTTTTGTTTTGATTATGATTATTAATCACATTAAGTAGCTTCCACAATGCTTGTTAAACACCAGTAGGCTTTACTCTTCCTTTTCATCCTCTTCAGAGGAAGCCTCGTCTGGCTGACCACTTTGGCATTAAACCACATTCCTAAATAACGTGCTCAGAGGACTACTTCTTGATTTTTCAGTTTTAGGCACTACCTACTGATTTCCTACTGTAGAAATGACAAATTTATGCCTCTTTCCTCWCTCTCTGCCCAATACACTAGCTCTGTCGCTTCCATGGTACAGTCATATTCTGATTTTAATAGCACAGTACCTGGCTGTGTTGCCATGATTATAAAAACATTCACAGTCTGGTCACAGAGGAACCTATGGGCTGCTTTTCTTACCTAACTTTTTCTTGGAAATAGTGCTCATCTTACCTTTTCAGTTGCTTGGTTTTCTGTATATTTAGCCCAAATTCCAACCTGAACCCTCTTCTAGCAGTCTAACTCCTGGAGATGTTCAAAGGTAGCAGGTGTTCCATTCAGCTCATCTTTTTGAGGTCCCTTCAGAGCCCTCTGTCCAGAACTGGACCTGGGGCCCTCTGTACCTGGCACACTACGGCCRTCCTGGATTCTCCTGCCACTCCCCTGAGGCTCCCTTTGCCTGTCCTGTAGAAGCTCATGWTTCTGGCATCTCCTGTCTTCCTCTTTTGGGGTCACCCTTTCATGTTGCTGGTGCACAGTGTCCCTAGATTTCCTAGAACAGGGTGTTGGAGAGACAGGCTTTCTGAGAGCTCCCATTGTAAATTTGGCTGAGCAAAGAATTTTAGGTTATAAATACTTTCAGAAAGACACCAAAAGCCTCGCTGCTAAGTCTTTTAGCTCCCAGTGTGGCTGACCCTCCTCTTTGATGACTCACAGAGGCTCCTCTTTGCCATCTATGTGCTGACAATTGCTGGCCCTTTCCATTAGGACACGTGTGCCCTCTGGTTCTAGAAAATGTTATTAAATTACCTACGTCGCTGATGATCTCCTTCCCTCTCTGGGCTGTTCTCTTTAGAACCACTAGGTGAACATGAGACTTCCTACACTTGTAATCTATTCCTTGAATCTTTCCTCTTCTATTTCTCTTGATGCCTTTTTGCTCCACTTCATAGACCATTTCAACTTTTTTTTTAAAATATATTTTATTTACATTTTAGTTTTTGGCGGACACAACATCTTTGTTTGTATGTGGTGCTGAGGATCGAACCCGGGCCACACGCATGCCAGGGGAGCGCGCTACCGCTTCAGCCACATCCCCAGCCCCTAGAYCATTTCAACTTTTATCCCTATACTCTCTTGAATTTTTCATTTCTGCTACTGTTTAGTTTTTAATAGCCCTTTTGTATTTCCTAAGCACTTTTTTTCCTAAGCAATATTTTCTCTTCTGTCTCTGAGGCTATTGATGCTTATGAGGGYTGATCCAGGTCTGCAGAAGAACCTCCAACTCATCTCTTAGGCTTCCCATCCAGGCGGGTCCAATTCCCAGAGGTCAGTTTTCCTCTCTCCTGACAGACTTGGCTGCTGGTGTTCTGGGGACTGGGGGAAGGCAGATTGGAGGGCTCCATATCCAGATGGCTAAATTCACTTACTCCCTACACCTTCTGAGTCCAGAGATTCTCTGCTGAAGTTGAGCTCTTCAGYGAGAAATCTCTGCCAGACTCCACCAGGGTGTGGGCAGGACAGCTCTGGCTGTGTTGTGCAAGGAAAGGCACCTGACTACCTCTTCATTCTAGCTTTCCCCCTTGACTTCCAGAGGCACCTGGTCCTGCCAAGCCCTGAGCCTTTTGGGGAACACAGCGTGAAAGGGTGAATCTCAGCTCTTCCCTCTGTTGGCCCATGATTTTCTTTCCTGGGTCTGATGAGTTATTTGGCATTCACCATATGATTCCATTCTAAAGTTTTGTCCATGTTCCTTTCCCATCCTCCCAATTCTGTGACTCATGCTCTTTACAAACACTTTTATTATCATACGTTAGGGTTTAGAAAGCAAGCAAAAGTTGTCGCCAAGTCCTCGTCTTTCCCTGGAAATGGGAAGAAATAGAATTTTCTCTATTCTAATAATCTCAGAAAAACAAGAGCTGAGAATGGAGCTCCATGGAAGAAAGCCCACCTAGCAGGACTGCAACAAACAAACAAACAAACAYGGGTAGGGACAAAGCAAAAGTCCCCAAATCACCCCAAAATGGAACACCAAGTGTTTCCCCTTGTGTTATCTCATCTAGTTTTGACAGCTGTCATGAAAGGTGAGGTTGAAAAAGTGACCTCTTTTACTGATAAAACACCTGAAGCTCAGAAACTCATTTCAGTGGATGTCGGTGGAGCTGGGAAGCCCAGCAGAAATCTGCTTCCAGGGACAATTCTTGCAGCACATCGCAGCCTCTTCACTTAGTTCTGCAGCTGCAGCCAGGACCTCACGATGGCTCAGGCTCTTAAACCTACCTCCATCAAATGTGTGAACAAGCCACATGTGATGAGGACAGAGTGGTTGGAGTGGCTGGAGGCTGTAGCCTCTCAAGGCATAGCCCCAGYTCAGGCTGCTGGAAGCTCTTGTGTTGGCGGGCTATTCTGCAGCCAAGTGCCTCCCGGGCTCCCTCCTCCCCAGAGTTGACCCCAGAGGCAGAGAGAAGCACAGCTGCAAGTGGTGCGCGCCTGTAACTCCAGCAACTCCAGAGGTTGAGGCTGGGGGACTGCAAGGTAGAGGCCAGCCTAGGCAACACAGAGACCCCCGCCTCAGAATAAAACCGAAAGGGCTGGGGACATAGCTCAGTGAAAGAGTGCTTGCTTAGCAATGTGAGGCCCTGGGATCAAGCCTCAATATCACAAAAAATAAATGAGAAAGAGACAGAGACAGGCAGAAAATAGATTAGTGGTTWCTGAGGACTGGGAGAGGGATCTAGAGGAAATGGGAAGTGCCGAATAATGGGCGTGGGGTTTCTCTCTGGGTTTTATGATAAAAATTTTCTAAAATCACTGGTGATGACTCACAACTCTAAGCATACTTAAACCACTGAATTGTATATTTTGAATGGGTGAACTGTATGGTACATAAATCATATCTCAATAAAGCTGTTATATGAACAATTATCAGAAGGAACTTCTTAATGCTAATAAGGCTGACTATACAGGGCTGGGGCTGGGGCTCAGCGGTAGAGAGCTCATCTGGYACGTGCGAGACCCTGGGTTTGATCCTCAGTACCACATAAAAATAAATAAGTGAGGTCTGGGGATGTGGCTCAAGCAGTAGCGCGCTCGCCTGGCATGTGTGCGGCCCAGGTTTGATCCTCAGCACCACATGCAAACAAAGATGTTGTGTCCGCCGAGAACTGAAAAATAAATATTAAAATTAAAAATAAATAAATAAATAAATAAGTGGGCTGGGGATGTGGCTCAAGCGGTAGCGCGCTCGCCTGGCATGCGTGCGGCCTGGGTTCGATCCTCAGCACCACATACCAACAAAGATGTTGTGTCCACCGAGAACTGAAAAATAAATATTAAAATTAAAAATAAATAAATAAATAAATAAGTGGGCTGGGGATGTGGCTCAAGCGGTAGCGCGCTCGCCTGGCATGCGTGCGGCCTGGGTTCGATCCTCAGCACCACATACCAACAAAGGTATTGTGTCCAACTACAACTAAAAAATAAATTTTAAAAAATAAGGCTGACTACATAAGCCTAAAATGGACTCAGAGCCATCTTTCTTGCCTTATTCAGAGAAATTTGGGACCTCTGATTTGCCCTAATCAGATCTGTCACCCCAGGAAACCAGAGAGCCACAGGGAATATACTATAGGAGTGCAGTGTCAGATCAAGAGTCACGCYCTCAGCATGGCAAGAAGGCACATGATAGTGAAAACTGATGAAGAGGACTGACCAACCAACCTAGGGCACCATGGATTCCTTGCAGGAAAGGCACAAGCAAGAAAATAAAACAAGAATTTTATATTCCAAAATCAAACATTTCATTATTACATAGACTTGTTGGAATGTAAGAGTCCCCTTTGAGTTCAATAATTCTTCTTCCTTTTTTAATTTAAATCCACAAAATTGGGGAAATATTGACCTTCTCTAAGAAAGTGAAAGTTCTTCCCAAAGACTGATGTATGATTTCTGACCTACGGAAGCAGCTCCCAGCAGCTAGTACCCTGGAGACCATAGCGAGTCCACTGTTCTCAAGGAGGAGGTACCTGGAACTGGAGAACTTACTTGACCAGTCTCAGAGTGTCCTTTCGGATGTTTATCAGGCTTCTCAGAGTCTTCACCGGCTCTTGGGGAGGTGGAGCGGCATACGGGAACTGTGTCAGAAACAGAGTAGGGAAGGCAGCATGTCTATAAAGATCCATGACTGTCCCTTGGTGGGACAGGGCTGTAAGCTGTTCAAAAACAGTCCCACAAGGTGACAGAGCAAGGGCCACTCTTCTCAATAAGCAAGGAGACTGGGACTGTGACATATTGAATCAATTAATTCGCTTAAGGTCGMAGCTACAGGGAGAACAGAGATTGAATGGGCATCAAAAGAGATAGACTTATCTGTTTTTTCCATTATATGAAAGATTATTTGAGTYAGCACCCAAAACATAGAGAACTAATCAAAAACTCCTACTGAAATTCCAAATACCAAAAGACACAAGGTGGCTGAGTTAATCACAAAAGGCTTTTCCACATGACCTTAGGCAACAGGGAACCAGACYCACAAGCCCTTTCCTTCAGGGAGGCCACATGGTATCCCAGGAATTTAGGGGCTGCAAATAAAGAGAATCCCATCGTGCGCAGAGCTGAGGCTTGCAGGCAGTCATGACTATGTGTCCCTGCAGCTGATCACATAAAGCAGAGTTCTTTAACATGTGGCCCAGAGTTATTTGGGGTCAYTGTAGGTTTATGGTTGTCATCATCATTTACCACACACTTTCTAACTCTTCCCCCACTTGGACCTTTGGATTYAGAGCTCTGAGTTTATAATAATGAAAAGTTAAAGAGAGGAGAATGTAAAATTTTTCACTTGCAATTGGCTTCAGTAGAGCAAAAATGATTAGGGGGCTGGGGATGTAGCTCAGTGGTACACAGCTTGCTTAGCATACTTGAGGCCCTGGATTCAATCACTAGTACCATAAAAAAAAAAAAAAAGTTTAAAAGGTCCTCAGTAGTCCTATAATGGGGTTTGGATAACACGGGGTTTTTTTACACATACACTCATGTATCACTTAATGATAGGAATGCACTCCGAGAAACACATTCCTAGCGAATTTGTCTTCCTAGGAACATCGGGGTGAACTTGTACAAGCTAAGATTGTGAGGATGTCATCAGGTAATACAATCTTATGAGATGACCACTGATATTTGATCCTTCCTTGACTGTAATATCATTTTGCAGCACACGACTGTAATTTAGAGAAAACCTACTGGTTGTTGTGGCTTTGCAAAACTGTGGTTCTCCTAGCTCAAGAAGAGTCTATCTCCACAGTGCTGGGATCAGAAAACAGGATACCTAGGTTATTATCTATTTGTGCCTTTACAGACATCAACTGAATGGAGTTTTTCTTTGGAAACATAATYTAACTAAGGCACATGTGACTTTATGTATTCAGTGTAATTGCTGATAATTCATATGCATGAATGTGATCCTTAAGTTGGCTCAGTAGTAGAGCATTTGCCTAGCAAGTGTGAGGCCTCAAGTTCAATCCCCAGTACAGAAAACAGAAAACAAAAAACCCCAACCACATCCCATCTAAATAATTTGCATTGATTGTCACTCTGTGGGCATTGTATAGAATTTTTTTTTTTTTTACTTTTTCATTGACACATTAAACATGTATTCTTTAAAAGACGACAGTTGCTTTTTCTAATGACAAAACATTACATATTCGACCAGAAAACTTGAAAAAACATAAAAGTGGAAACCAGTTATCATTTCTCCACTTAGTAACACCAGCACATGTTTCCCTAAGGCCTCGMCCCCAACCCCCACCCCACATCAGGACTGCCTCTCTCTCTGAGTGTGCCTGCAGGTGTGCCTCTCTCTGAGTATGCAGTTGTGCGACACAGGGAGAGTGGCACTTTATCCATCACCCATAGCACTCGGCGTCTGAAGCTGCTCCGACTTCTTTGCTGATATGGATGCTGTGGTGAACATCCTTGTCCCCACACTCTGCGTGTTTGTGTGATTATTTCCTTGGGACAAATTCCTAGAAGTGGAATTACTGGATCAAAGAGTAAGCATATTTTTAAGGCTTTAAAGAACATTTTGCCAAATTGTTCCACACAGAGCTGACTCCCCTGAGCAGGGCAACAGGAGGCTTTGAAGTAGGAAAATGGGGATTCTGGTCCAGATCCCACTGGGGCTTGTTTCTCCACCCCCACTTCCCAGGCTGTCATACTGAAGGAATTTAAAACAATTCTAAAATAAGCTTAAGCAAAAAGTAATTAGGCAGGAAAATCTGACACAAATGCTAGCCTATTCTAAAGCCAAAATAAATGACTTCAGGATTAAAATTTTTTTCTGGAGTAGCAAAGTTAATCACTTCATTTGTGCAGGTACTTAGTAGTTATCCATAAATCCTATCTGAGTTAGAATTTAAAAAAAAGATGGGTCTTTCTCTTATTCTTCACCCTTTTTCCTCTGTGGCCCCTAAAAAGGAAAAGAAAGGAAAGAAAGGCCCCAGTTCTCTCAGCCTCCACTTCACTCATTTGATGATAATTACGGCAAGGAAACACAAGTTATCCAAGGACAGSGGTCAACAGGACCGACTGCTAATCAATCCATCCCTACAGTTGAGCTCCCCCATACAGACATACAAGGAAACAGATGGAAACCTGCTCAGGAGAACCTCATCTTGTCCATGGGCTCCTACTACCAGCTGCTAAGCTTTGGAGGCCTTTCATTTACACATGACATCAGTATAAACTGTAAGGAGAGACTCAAAGCGGAAAAGGTTAACAGCTTTCTAGAAGTTTCATTCAAAGGCAGATGATATAGCTACACGAGGAACGGCAGTATCTGAAAAATGTTACAGAAGAGGCAAAAATTAAGGAAGCAATCTCTCTGGCCAGATATCCTGGAAGGCATCTTGGAGGAGATGGTATTTGATTTGGACTTTTTTTTTGGGGGGGGCAGTATTGGAGCTTGAACCCAGGGACATTCTACCACTAAGCTATATCACCAACCCTTTTTTTTTTTTGAGACAGGTTTTTGCTAGTTGTTGAGGCTGGCCTCAAGCTGGGGATCCTCCGCCTCAGCCTCCTGGTCTCTGGACTTGCAAGTATGCACCACTGCTCCTGGCTCTAAACTGGGGTCTTGAAGGATAAATGGAATTTGACAGAGTAGAGGAACGGAAGAATCAGAGGTGAACCGAAGGAAATGTTTTTCTGCTATTAAAGTCATCTCCCCTTCCTCTCTTCCAATTCAAGCCACCATTATTCTCTTTGCTTCTCAGTCATCTTCCTTTTAAAATTGACCAGGGTTGGGGTGCAGCTCAGTGCTAGAGACCTTGCATGGCATGCAGGAGGCCGGGGTTCCAAGCACAGCACCAAACAAACAAAAACAACTGGTGAAGCTTTTTTGCTTGTCTCCAGTATTCCCTTAACAAATACACCATTGTTCTTTTGCTATACTTACGGCAAAAGAAGCATCCTACTTCCACTGAAACCCAGAGTCTCCATTCTTACACTAGCACGTAAGGGTAAAAGGAAGCCGACGCTGCCTTCTTGGGACTGAGGAGGTCGAAGCTCAGAACCCATCTAGGTCCAGAACATTCCTGAAGTAATGCTCTCCTCAGTCTACGTCCAGGGCTGCGATTACTTTCCTGTTTTTTTTTTTTTTTTTTTTTTTTGGAAGGGGTGGGAGGTTGTTCTGGGGATTGAACTCAGGGGCACTCGACCACTAAGCCACTTCTATAGCCCTATTTTGTATTTTATTTAGAGACAGGGTCTCACTGAGTTGCTTAGCGCCTTGCCATTGCTGAGGCTGGCTTTGAACTCATGATCCTCCTGTCTCAGCCTCCTGAGCCACTGGGATTATAGATGTGTGCCACAGCACCTGGCCCCAGTCCTTTTTATTTCTTATTTCAAGAYGGGGTCCAGGCTATTCTTAAACTTTCCACCCTCTTGCCTCAGCCTCCCAAGTTGCTGGGATTATAGGCATGCACCACCACACCCAGAATAAGTAAACTCTTAACAGACTTTTGAAGAATCCCTAAATGAGGTTTTTCATAATGAAAACAGGTTTCATATTAAGATTAATGAGGGGCTGGGGCTCAGTGGCAGAGTGCTTGCCTCGMACATGTGAGGCACTGGGTTCGATCCTCAGCACCACATAGAAACAAATAAACAAAATAAAGATATTGTATCCATCTATAACTAAAAAACATTAAAAAAGATTAATGAAAAAATAATGAAATTTAGTCTCTTCAGGAATTTGTGAGCCAAACCTTATAGGTAACAGAGAAGTGAGACCCAGATGCCCCTAATCTATTCATTTAATCAGAAAATTCCAGCAAATGAAAACCCTCTTAATGGGGTAAAATTTGAGTAACTTGCACATGCCACAAAAACAAAGAATGAACATGAGGAAACACTTAACTGAGCAGCCATGAAGGGCCAGGCATCACTCTAAAGTCCCTTAGCCATGCCCTATCTTACTTTAAATCGCAGTAAACACACAAGACATGAAACCCACCATCTCATTATTTTCAAGCACATGGTACAATGGCATTAAGGACATTCATTTCCACATTATCGTACAACCACATCTGCCATGAAGTCTCATGGCAGATATACTCTTTTTTWAAAATTTTTGGTACCAGGGATTGAACCTGGGGTGCTTAACCAGTGAGCTACATCCTCAACCCTTTTTAATATTTTATTTATAAGCAGGGTTTCATTGAGTTACTTAGGGCCTTGCTAAATTGCTGAGGCTGGCTTTGAACTTGTGATCCTCCTGCTTCAGCCTCCTGAGCTGCTAGGATTACAGGTGCAACTGTACCTGGCAAGATACACTCTTACTTTGCTCTTAACATGAAGAGATATCCCACCAGCTGTAAGCCTCTGCAGAAAGACATAGGAGGARGTTGGCCATTTTGCAGGTAAAGAAGCAGAATCCAAAGATCTGTGTAATTGTCCAAGCCTCAGGGCTAATGAGCAGCAGAACCATGATCTCAATCCAGGTGTGTCTGACTGCAATAGTCTTGCTCTGACTCCTGCAGCTGCCTGAGTTCTGCAGGAAACATCTGCAGGCTGCCTTGGCCACCCCGCCCTAGGAACCTGAGGAGGGTGCAGGGAGTACGTAAGTTGTGTCATCACT